CACACACACACACACACACACACACACACACACACACACACACACACACACACACACAAAACACCATACACGGCACAATTCATGTCCATCATGCACTTGAATCCTCGACACATACCAAAGCTCGGGAAAAAACTCACTATTTCTTGTTTATTTGTTTTATGATCAGATCAGATATTTGAGTTATTTTTTTTATAAGATTGATAATAGAAGTGTTCATGATGATTGTATACTGTATTTTTTTCTTAATGTTTTGGAAAAATAGTTGAATGAAAACAATTGGTAATATCCTCTTTCCTGTTGCACATCCAGTGAAACTGTTCATTTCCCCAGGAATGAGGGTCTACATGGCACGTGACTGCCATTTTTTTTAACCTTCAGCCTACAGACTTATATGTCATGTGTGATCACTTCAGCAATGTTGTTGGGCATTTATTTTTCTCTGCTACGAAACACTGACTGTGGAGAAAACCAGCAGCAGGCACTGGAGCGTGCATCTTCATGTAACCGTTTTTATTCTCCTGATCAGTGGTTTKTAGAGATATTGACTGATCTTCACAGTAAACGCAGCAGCAACACTCGCATCTTGTTCAGAACAAATGAAAGCATGTTGAGTTCTTACCCTGGCCCTGAAACCTATAATATATTTTCATTATCAGTCCGAGTTTATACTCTATCATTACACAAGTTAATCAAATTCGATTTGGGACTTTTCATGGAGTGATTCAGTAAACAATATGATTTACTTGGTGCTATCAGTGAATGATTTCTCATCATGAATAGAGACCGTTCAGCTCTTCTTCTTTTTTTTGCACTTGCTGTAGTCAAGGCAATGCTTGGAAACATATACGAACGCAATATAATGTGGAGTAAAAGAAGTGCAAAAAGTGATAAATTACAGACTTTATTTCAGAGATTTCTCTAAAATGTGTATGTGAGTCCCTGCTTAGATGCTGGCTAAAACCCTAATGGGGAGAAACTTGAAGTGAATAGAGCCCACAAGAGGATAAGCTACTAAATCTTGCAATAAAAGCAATGTGATTTACAGTAAATTCCACAAGGCTGACAATGCCACAGCTGAGGGCATAAACAGTCCTTTCAGCGCTGCGCCTCAGTTCTCTCTGCTGTGAACTACAATCACGCAGGCATGCTGCTCAGCAGCAGTGACTTTGATAAATCACCAGGAAGTCCCACTGTTGGCTTAAAACTAGAACTTGTTCAGTTGCAATTCTGCATTTGTCCCTCTTTAATGTGTATGGAAGTGGCTTTAGCAGTAATCTGTCAGTGATTGATTAGGTGTGGCCGAATCCCCATTCCGTTCTCCTCCACTGGCTCACTGTTCCGCCGCAGCTGTGTATTTACAGAGGGATGACTCTGTTGTGCAGAGTGGGTGCTGCCTTATTTA